CCCTAGCAAACTTCCTTGGGTCCTTTCGAATCAAGAAGACGATATCTTCGACTTGTACTCGACCTTGTCTTCCAATGGACATTGCCTTGTGAGTCTATTACAAAGACATTAGATTACAAAGACATTAAACATTAGTCTATTACAAAGATATTAGATTCAATGTTCTTATTTTTTATTAGTAAATGTTTACAGTACACAATGATTACACTCATTACAGGGAGCTGGTACACACACAATGCTTAATTCTTTTTACATCCTTTTGCCCTCCCATTCTGACACCTCACCCCATCTGTTTAAATTTTAAAAATCAGAATTCTATGTTTTAATTTATTGATTGCTGGTGAAGCTGAAGATTTTCTCCTCTAATTACTATAGTTAGTCATTTTAAAACTCTTTATCCATGTACTTTGCCCATTATTTACTAAATAATTAGAAATCGGTATGCTCCTGTAATCCAAGCACTTGGGAGGCTGAGGCAGAAGGCCTGCTACGAGTTTAAGGCCAACCTGGCCATAAAATGAGCTCAAGGCAAGCCTAAACTGTATAGCAAGACCCTGTCTCATAAAAACCAAAAAAAAAAAAAAAGTTTTTCTTTATGCATCATAGCTGTTTTTATTTTAATACAAAGGACATTAAATTAACAACTTTACCAAAAAAAAAAAAAAAAAACTTTACCAATATTCTTTTTTTTTTTTGCAGAACCGGGGATTGAACTCAGGCCCTTGAGCTTGCCAGGGAAGTGCTTATTCCACTGAGCCATCTCCCCGGCCCCCCAATATTCTTTTTGTTGTTTTGTTTTCTATTTAGACAGGGTCTTGCTATGTAGTTTCGGCTAGCCTTGAACTCACTATACAGTCCAAGCTGGGCTTGAACTTGCAACCTTCCTGCCTTAGCTTTCCAAGTGCTAGGACTATAGGCATGTGCTACATGTCTGGCTATTTTTAATTACTTGGTTTTCTTTGGAAGGGGCACTTGGATATAAATGTATATACCTTTAAATAAATATTGGAAGAAGGAAAAATCATTTTGGATAATGAGATTATGGGCAATATTATTAATTTAGTTCAAGGATCTTATAATTCTGTCTTTATAAACAAAACTCAGGAGAGGGTAGAATATATTTATATAATCTCTATACTTAATGATAAATAGTAACTAGGAATTTTCACAAAATAGGCACACAAATGAATAGTTCATTTCAAAAGGATGCTGTAAGTTTGAGCCTTATCTAAAGCTTAGAATTTTAAGCCTATTCTAAGACTAGCTACTCCCCACCCCACCCCAAAAAAGAGCAGCTACAACAAAACAAACCTGGGGCCGGCAAGATGGCTCAGTGGAATAAGCGCTTCGTTGGCAAGCGCAAGGGCCTGAATTCAATCCCTGGTTCCGCAAAAAAACCAAAACAAAACAAAAAAACTTGAAAAAATACTACTACAAAAGAAGCTTACCATCTCAGTGATGAACTCTATGACAAGGTCTTCAAGAATATCCACTGACTCAGTATACGGATTCTGGTCATCTCCAAACCCATACATCATACATCGTACTGGGAAAGAACAATCACTTGTTTACGTGAGCAGATTTCACAATTTCACCAACATCCTTTTCGTATCAACTACAATGGAACCAAGTGATAGACAACACTGCTTATATTTTTTGTCTCCAAGTATGGACTGTGTTATAAAAGGTTTAACCACAGCCTTATGACCAGTCTTATCAAGTACCCTCCAACAAACCTCTCCTTTCTTCCCAAGTACTGAATCCAAACATGCATATACTTTAAAATCTTTATCGTATATTTGTCAGCAACCTCTAGAATCCTCTTAGCAGTTTCTTCTTGTTGTTCTTCTTTTTTTTTTTTTTTTAATATGTATTTGGTACAGGGTCTCGCTTCAGATTGTAGTGATCCTGTCTCAGCCTTCCCAGCACTGGGATTACAGACTGCGCCACCACGCCTGCTTTTGGTGGCTGGCGCAGCACACCCAGGGCAGGGCCGGCATGGCATGCAGTGCTGGGGATCAAACTCCAGTTCCTGCACTTGCCAAGCAAACGCTTAGACCGCTGAGCTACCTTGTCAGCCCCAGAATCCTCTTTAAGAGGAGACTATGACAGGAACAAGGTTAGCAATGCTTAGCACTGTCTGGGAGTTTTCTGTGTGGCAGTGATACAGTGGGACACGGAAAACAGGAGCAGAAGAACCTGATGTGACTACAGCTTAAAGGGCAACAGAGAAAGAGCTCGTTACCTCTTATGGGAATTTTTTTTTTTTTTTTGGCGGAACCGGGGATCAAACTCAGGCCCTTGCACTTGCCAGGGAAGCACTTATTCCACTGAGCCATCTCCCTGGCCCCTCTCTTATGGGAACAAATAGGGTAAGCAAAAGGAGAAGACAAAGGGCTTATGACAAGGAATCTTGTCATTTCAAATGCAACTGCCAGCAAACCCCTTTCTGGTTTCATATGAAGGGAGCACAGAGTAGGCATAAAAGGAGGAAAAGCTAATGCAAAGTGATGACAATAAGTGCTACCAGCTAAACTTGCTTAGCCCTAAATGCTACGTATTGCGTTAAGCCTCACAAAAAACCCTGTGACGCAGCTGTTATGATTCCCATGCTATCGGGAAGGAAAACTGAGCCACTGAGTTAAGTGACCCACCCAAGGTCATATACTAGTAAGAGACAGAGCCTGAAGCTGAAGCCACCCACTTGGGTCCAGACAGCTTTCGCTCTGACCCACAACAGCAGCGGTACTCGCACTCCATAGTTTGGGACAGAAGGGCTCCATATGGACTCTTACAGTCTATCAATCTAATTAGCCCACAGACTAGCTTTAAAGTGTTGAATTTAAACTGAGAACACATGCATAGGAAAATCTTATATATTATCTGTATGGATGCATTTTTGGGGGAGAAGAATTATAACATGAGATTCTCAACTATGTAAGTGCTGTCAACTACTAGACATCTTGTATCCCTGAGGGATTATACATGTTTATACAGAGATCCCCCCCCCCCCCGCCCGCATCAAGCTGTTTCCTTAAGACTTGAAACCTCCTCCCTCCATCCCAGTGCTGGGGATTGACTCAGCACTGTCACACGGAATACATCTCTAATCCTTTAAAAATTTTGAGGGGGCTGAGGCTTTAGCTCAGCAGCACAGCAACTGCCTAGCATGCGTAAGGTCCTGAGTTCATTCCTATTACCAATAAATAGAATTTCTAAATAAATAATTAAAATTTCTGAGATAGGGACTCACCAAGTTGCTAAACTGCCATTGGTAGGCTCAAACTTACAATTCTGTCTCAGTCTCCCAGGGTGCTGGGATTACAAATGTGTGGCACTATACTTGGCTGTGTACAATTTACTGTAAGTTTTACAGTTTTTAAAAAACAAAGTCGGGGGCTGGAGATTTAGCTCAGTGGTAGAATGCTTGCCTAGCAAGCAGGAAGCCCTGGGTTCAATCCTTGGCACCAAAAAAAAAAAAAAGGAAGGAGCTAGGCATAGTGGTGCATGCTTGTATTCCCAGTACTTGGAAGCCTGAGGCAGGACTGCTGTAGGTTCAGGGCCAGCCTGGATTACATATTGAGACCCTGCCTCAAAAAAGAAAAAAAAACCCACAAGCTGTCATGTAGCCCTGTGTGAAGGCCCTGGGTTCAATCCCAAAGAACTGTGAAAGACAGGCAGGCAGGCAGGCAGAAAGACAATAAACTCTATGAAGGGGAGATATAAAAAGAATTAAGATTTGTTGTCATTGTAGTGTATAAATACCAACTACCCACCACAAGTGTGTTTATTATGTAATGCAAACATGTACTAATAAGAAACAGAGAGGGAGGGAGAAAAGGAAGAGGAAAAGAGAGAGAAAAGAAAAGAAGGGAGGAAAGGAGGAAGGGAAGGAAAAGAAAAGATTATTTTAGAAGAAGCAAAAACTGGTATAAGATTCTTATTTAGGGGCCTGGAGAGACAGCTCAGAGGCATATGCACATTCCTGGCAAGCACAAGGATCCTAGTTCAATCCCTGGTCCCACAAGCTGTGCAGTCTTGGCCCACGAAGCCCGGGCATGCCATCTCACCTTAGAATCAGGCGTGGTGGCACACACCTGTAATCCCAGCACTTGGGAGGTTGAGCTAAGAGGATCTCTGCAAATTTGAGACCAGCCTGGGGGCTACAAAAATGAGCACAAGGCCAGTTCAAACTGCATTTTTGAGACCCTGTCTCAAAAAAAAAGATTCTTATTTAGAAGAAGTAAAAAAGAGGGGACAAAAAACCAGGCCCAGGGAAGACAGGAAAGCGGTGACTAGAAAGTCAGCACAGTAGAGAAGTATCCCTGAGTTCTACACTGAGAAGAGCCTTTGGTTCCAGACACAGGAAGAAAACAACTGCAGAAGAAAAAATTTCCTTCCTTGCTTTTGGATTCTGTAACTCTGTTTGCATTTAAAAAACAAAAAAAATCCAGGTTCTTATCAAAGAGTCCGGTCTTAGTTGTCATAGCACCTTGGTTTTCTCCATCCAATCTGTGGCGACACCTCAGCTTTTCCGTCTTTCAATACTTTGATACTTTTGAAGAACACTGGTCATTTTGTGATTTTCTTCGATGTTTTCCCATGCTTAGATTGAGGTCACACACGGATCAGAAAGGACAGAGAGATGATGTCCCTCACATCGGGGTGGGGGGGGGATACATATATAGATAGATAGACAGATATAGATATATATAGATATATATATCTGGTGACACTAACTTTGATCACTTAGCTAAAGTGATGTCTATCGAGATTTTCCAATGTAAATTTACCATTATTCCTTTTAAATGGTGAGGAAAGTAAGGCAATAACATTTGAAGAAAATGTGTCCACTGGATAAGGAAAACTTATAATCTTTTTTTTAATTAATTAATTTATTTATTTATTTTATTGTGTGTGTGTGTGTGTGTGTGTGTGTGGCCAGCTCAGCCCACCAGGGGGCGGGGCTGGCTGGCATGTGGTGTGGGGGATTGAACCGCGGTCCCTGTGCTTTGCTAAGCTTGTTCTAAGTGGGTGCTTTAGACCACTGAGCCATCCCACCAGCCCCAAGGAAAACTTATGTTGTAGAGGAAGAATATAAATTGTCTCAGTTAAAGGGTCTGAAAAGGGTAAACAAATGTCACTGAATGCTTTGAAATTCTGTTATATTAACAACAACAACAACAAAAAAAATTAATAGGGTTTAAGAAAACAGATCCTGGCCAGGAAAACATATGAGAACTCTGATAAGACAGAGAGAAAGCTGTGAACATTCCAAATTCTGGTCATCACAAACACACAGTCATCTAAGTGGAGAGTAAAGCATCCCACTAAACAGTGCAAGTATGCTCTAGTGCAGGGACTCCCTTCACATGCTGTCAAAATAGTAAGAGCACATACAAATCAGTAATTATTATCAGAGAGATGGAATAAAGAGTGGTCAGCTTAAAGCAAGAAATTATATGGAAAGGATTGGGGTGGTTAAGAAAAAAAAAAGACATTCTATTTGCAAAGCATTTAGGAACTGCTCACGTTTTACCCAGCCTGAATAAATGACAAATATATTCAGAAATTGGTGTTGCTGTATCTCTCAGTCCTCAGCCATAAATATAGGTAAAGCACCAGGGAGTTGGCGAAACAGAGCTCATTCTCATGATGCTCTCAGGGACTGACCCAGACCAGCAGCACCTCTCCTTTTCTGCTACCAGCAGTCAAACCTGTCTTCTGTCTACTGAGGTAGGAGGACAAAAGCCCAGTATGTTCTCTAGAACTTGTGAATCCCTCACACTACTCAATATCTTCCTGTTTACTGCCTTAATCCTAAACCCCAACTATGATCCATTCCTCAGGATTTGTTCCAGGGCCCTTTTTTTTTTTTTTGGTGGAACCGGGGATTGAATTCAGGTCCTTGTGCTTGCCAGGGAAGTGCTTATTCCACTGAGCCATCTCCCCGGCCCCCAGGCCCATTATGACCCGTAACTTACTATCACAGAAGTCTATATCAGGTATGCAAAGGTAAGGCACATGAAAATGAACAGAGGTATCTTCTACCATGAATTAAAACACTGATCGTGTTTTATTTTATATAATTATGGTTAGGGTAGGATGGTCACTAGGTATGATTCAAAAATTAAACAAAATTTTATAGGTAAGAATGACAACATTGTCACTAAAGACAGTAAATTTACCCTAAAAGAATACATCCAAAAGCTTACACCAACTATAATGAAATCATTGTCAAACACAACTTACATTCTTTGGAAAAAAGTCTCTTTCTTTTACCCTGTCCACCTTCAGCACCTCCTCCAATTTCTTCATTTTCCTCCTCAAACTAAAATTTAAAATATACACATAGAAATATCAAGTGATTGTAGGTATTTGGCATTTTAACAATTAATTTTTTTTCATTTTCAACACTGATATCAGAGTAGGAAGCCTAAAACAAGGAGCAAAAAACTTATGAAATCAACACTGAAGGGGTCTTTAAGAACCTAATCCAACGTCCAGATGAGGCAGGATGTCTTTTTTCTTTTCCAATAGCTTCTCAATGTAGTCCGGGTTGGCTTCAAACAGGAGAGATCGCCCAGCCTTCACCTGGAGTGCTGGGATCACAGGTACTGGGTCACCATGGTGGGCTGCGTTGCTGTTTTAAGCCAATTGCGCTATGTCCAACCTCTGCTGGACAGTATTACCGTTAAAGATTTGATATGGAAGCGGCAAGTAAAAATTAATACTTAAGTAATTGGAGTAAGTAAAATTAATATTTACTAAGGATCTGCTTAGCCAATGCAAAAAACTTACACTGAATAAGCCTTACCCCTACTTCATGAATTAAAACATGAACTACGTTTTACTATTTTATATAACTAGGGTTAAGGTAGGATGACAAGAAAAAGTGAGGTTCAAAGTTAAACTTGCTCAGAGAGAGACAAGCATTTGAATTCCAAGATTCCTGACTTCCAGTCCACCAGCAAATACTGCGACCGACGATGACTCTCCAGGCGTTTCAGAGGGTGTCTGGCAAACGCACGCAAAGCCAAAGCGAAAGGAGCCACTTTCCTACTCTCCCTCGACGTCCTGCCCCGCGTACTACTTGATAAATCACTTAACACAGGGAAAGCAAAGGGATTAAATCCTCGAACTCTCTCGGCTGAATTCACTACGGAAAACAGGTTCGATTCTCAATTCTGCCCCTGCTACAAAGCCTGAGGGAGTGGGGCGCAAGCGGTCACTCACGGTAGGATCCTCTTCCTCATCCGCCATCCGACCAGCCAACAAAACTAAACACTCCCGAACAACGAGTCGCTAGTTGATTTTACGACTCCTTTTGCGTCACTTCCGGTGACGTTAGGGGGCGGGACAAACCCGGCTGACGCCTGCGCAGATGGAGTGCGCCCTTGGCGTTTGAGCCGCTGACCCCAAACAGTCCCTGGAGGAAGGAGGGGGGCTGTGAGCCCTTCCTTGTGTATCCCGAAGAAAGGATTCAAAGTTACAGAGAAAAATACGGCCAGGGACCGAGCCTCATGCATCTCGTTGTTAATTCTCATTCGAGCCGCATGCCTAGAATGACAAGATTTAAAATTTTGTTAGGAAGGTAGGTTTGTTTGGTTCATAATATGTAGAATATCGTGGAATATTAGAAGACTAGAAGTAGCAAGTAAACGTCCTACAGCGTGTCCAGACAGGGCCTCGCTTCGTAGTTGAGACGACCTTTCACTTCTTGTGGACCTTCAGGCTGGCCTGGAACTCATGGCAGTCCTCCTGCCTCAGCCTCCCATGGGCTATGATTACAGGTGTGCGCCACCATGCCTGGCTACTAAGAGGTCTTTATTCAGTAAAATTGTTGCAATTATCTTGAGTCAAACTGCAATCAATCTATAGGATTCCAAGTACAGCTACTTAGCTAATACTGATTTAATAGCAGAACAATGTACTTAGCGACAGGACACAGCACAGAGAACAAAGATCTTTCTGGAAGGGATACAGGGAAGTCAGCATGTTCCAGTCGTCTATCTACGTGTTCATTACCTTGTTTCCACGTGTTTGATGTTGATGCTTATTGACCCAGATATTAGCGGTTACAGAGCAGCTTTGAGCTGTTGTGCGTCTTCAGGGAGGTTTGCAGGCCTCGCTATATGTAACAGTACTATCACAATAAAAAGGGATGGGCAAGTGGCTTAGAGGTGGAGTGCTGGCTAGAATGTGCAGGCCCTTGAGTTCAGTCCCTATTATAAAAAAAATAAATAAATAAAGAGGGCTAAGGAGATAGCTCGGCGGTCTGAAGCACCTGCCTGGCAAGCGCAAAGAGATCTAGGTTCGATCTCCAGTACCGCATGCCGCGCTGGACCGAGAACCCCAGGCGAACCATGCTGGCCACCAAAACAAGGCGTGGTGGCACATGTATGTAATCCCAGCGCTGGGGAGGCTGAGACAGGAAGATCGCTATGAGTCTCAGCTTCATAGTGAGACCCTGTGTCAAATAAAGATTTTTTTTTTAACTAAAGAATTTCATCATTTTATCATGCAGTTTTTGGGGGTTGCAAGTCTGGGTGCCTTTTTTTTCTTTTTCTTTTTTTTTTCTTTTTTCTTTTTTTTTTTTTTCAGAACCAGGGATTGAACTCAGGCTCTTGCACTTGCCAGAGAAGCGCTTATTCTACTGAGCCATCTCCTGGTCCCCTGAGTGCTCTTTAACTGGGTGCTTCTGGCACTCAGCAGGTCCCTCGTGTTGCAGTCCTATCTGAAGCTCTAATTGCCTGTGTTGGCCCAGAGGCCTTCTTCAACTCCTTGCCATATAGTCCTTTCCAGAAGGCAGCTCAACATGGGAGGTAGCTCTCCTCAGAGCAGACAAGCAAGAGGGCTGGGAACACCTAGCAGCAGGAGACACGGTGGTGTGGGAACCTGATTTTAGAAGCAGCATCTCATCCTGTCTGTGCTGTCCTGTTTAATAGAAGTAAGTGGGTAAGTGTAGCCCATGCTCAAGAGGGAAATACACAAGGGCAAAAGCATCAGAAGGGAAAAAGTATGTATCAGAAGAGTGAGATCACTGGGGGCAATAGCCCATCACAGTAGGTTATGTCATCCATAAAATTTTTTTTTAATGTATTTAGTACAAGGTCTCACTACACAGATCAGACTCAGAGACATTAAAGCTGTAGCATAGAGGAAATGGGGCTAGGGTTCAAGAAAATACATACATAAGGGCCTGCCAAATAGCTCAGCGGATTAAAGCACCTGCAAGCAGGGCCGGGGCCAGGGTTCCATCCTCGGGCCTGCCTTGCCGGCCCGCCCCGGGGCGTGCTGAGCCGGCAGTTGAGCCTAGATGTGGTGGTGCGCGCCTGTAATCCCAGCTCTTGGGAGGCTGTAAACAGGCGGACCACTACAAGTCCGATCTAGTAGTGAGACCCTGAACACCCTGTAGACCCTGCCCTAAAATACAAAAAAAGAAAGAAAAAAGAAAGAAAGGAAAGAAAGAAAGAAAGAAAGAAAGAAAGAAAGAGGCCGGGGAGATAGCTCAGTAGAATAAGCGCTTGCCTGGCAAGTGCAAGGGCCTGAGTTCAATCCCTGGTTCCGCAAAAAAAAAAAAAAAAAAAAAAGAAAGAAAGAAAGAAAATACATACATGAATCAAAGTGAAGGCCTTTGAGAGTGCCGCATAGCACAGTGTGCTAGCAACTGTGAAGTGTGGCTAATTCAACCCTTTGAACTTGGTATCCAAAATATGATGTGAGAAAAGAAAAAAAAATCAGTGTGCTGAGCAGAGCAGAAACAAAGCACAGCGACTAAAAAGTCACTGTGAGCATCTAAGATGCCAAGAGCGGGCTGCCAGAAGCTCATTTGCTGGATGCAGAGGCCGGAAGTGAGGCTGGAATGAAGCCACGCGGGAGTGAAGGACTTTGCAGTGCTCTGAAGTTTAGCTTCAAACTGCAGAAATTCTTGGGCAATCTTTTTTTCTTTTTTCTTTTTTTTGGGGGGGTTCAGGGTCTTGCTACCTAGCTCGGTCTCCCAGTGATCCTCCGGTCTCAACATCCCCAGAGCTGGGATTACAGGCGTGTGCCACCATGCCCCTATTTCAGTGGCCTGCACCACATGCCTGGATTGAAAACAGGTTCTGCGCTTGGCAGAAGGAAATTAGACTGCTGAGCTATCTCCCCAGCCCTGGGAAATCTTTATTTTTGTCTTATTATTTTGTCTTTTTGGAGACAGGGTCTTGCTATGCTGTTCAGGCTGGCCTTGAGCTCACTTTGTAGCCCAGGTTGGTCTCAAACTTGCAGTAATCCTCCTGTCTCAGCCTCCTGAGTGCTGGGATTATAGGGGTGCACCACCACATCTAGTTCTCTTGGGCAATTTAAGAATCTATGATCTTTTGGGATTTTTCTTCTCTTTTTTTCTTTGTTTATTTTTGTATTTAGTACAGGATCTGCAGGGTCTCACTACACAGATGGGACTGTAGTGATTCTCCTGTTTTGAGTCTCCCAAGCAATGGGATTATGCCCAGTCTCAGTCACAGGCTCAGCGCACCCCAGGGGCAGGGCGGGCAGGGCAGGCCGGCAATGGAACCCCTAGTCCCCAGTCCCTGTGTCTGTCTGTGCAGGAGCTTTAATACCCGGAGCTTTCTGGCTGGCCCTGAACTTCTTGGATTTTTTTCAATGTCCAGGAAATTTATTTTGTTTTTTATAC